CAGCAGCAGCAGCAGCAGCACCTCGACCTTCAGTGCAACAGCTGGCCTAACCACCAGCGGTACCACGACAAGAGCTCCGACAACCTCACAAAGCAGCACTAGCACATCTACATCAAGCCAAAGAGCGATTTCTACAGCGAGCTTGACAAGACGGTCAAGCACAAGCAGCACTGCAACTGCGTCATACACAGTGACATCAACGCTCCCTTCAACTACATCAGCGTTGTCTCTGCCACCCATAACCACGCGACCACAAAAGCCGACAAGAGCCACCACTACCTCGTCTTCAAGCATCTCTACCAGGTCCATATCATTATCCGACAACGAAACTGCCAACACGACCACCACGAGCTCGACTAGCGCTACCGTCATGCGAGCGTCTCAAAGTTGGCATTGGGGCTTGCTGAACGCAATCTTGACCGGCATGCTCAGTCATGCGTAGCACTCTGCGGGCATACACCCCCACAGCGTTTCGTCTTGCCCTTCTCAGGCATTCGGGATGCACGATTTCAGACTCGCACTCGAGTACCTGTCCCAGGCAGGGTCTGCAAGTATTGACTCTTTGGCAGATTGTTGAATGGCAGGTACATGCTTTCTTTAGAGCGTTGCACTGCAGCCTGTCCGGAGCCTGCGTCTAAGAAAAGTGGACGCTGTTGACTGCTGAATACTGAACTAGTGACGCTACACACGTAGCTGTGCGAGGTCCTTTCCGGTCGGCGTGTTCATCTGCATAAAGGGCCGAATCTTTGGGAGCTCTGGATGCTTGCAGGCGGTGGAAGCGCATGGGAGCACTCTGGAAAGGCTTTTGCGCTCTGGCAGGCTGAAGGCAATCGACAATGGCGAGGTCCCTTGCTGGCGGTAGCTCTGCGTGCTGGCCCAGCACTCAGTGCAGTTGGCCAAGGTGCTTCATTTCTCTTCTGTTACTCTAGGTTTTTGGATTCTGTGTCGAAAAAGGGAGTGATGGAGCTGTAAGTGGCCAGGCACTGTAGCAGCACAGAAACTTAGCCAGGCAGCACCGGCGTAGTTCTCTAAATTAGGGCGCCATTTTGGGTGTGCAAACGACCATCAACAAGATCCAGAAAGGACCTTCGCAACAGCGTGGGATGCCCGAATAGAGCATTTGTGAAAAAGGATTGACAGCAGCTCAGATCGTCGGGACAGGCCTGGCTTGGACTGACCCACCGCCTTCGCTTCAAGAAAGCTTGAGGCTGGCGGCTCATGTCTTGAGGTCCTGGGACATTCGGTGCAAGAAAGGGCGCATGGACCGGAACTGGCAAGGGGCAAATTGGCACAGAAACATCCCTGTCTCTGGAATTTGTTTTGCGACTGGGGGAGAATCGCTTTTTGATTTGAGTGTTGTTGAGGTTCCTTGGGCTCCTTGCTTCGCGTGCTTCTGGCTTTCGTTTCTATTTGGGCTTCCGCTCTCTTGGCTTCAGCATCTTTAGACTTCTCTCGGGTGCCTTCTCGGCCACCGGCTAGGTTTTGTTTTGTCGGATTTTTCCTCTGTCTTTTTGGTCTCCCAGCTTTCATATGCTTGGCATGTGCTCTCCCCAAGCAATCTGTCTTTGCTTGGGACATACATTGGCAGGCAACCGGGCCAACCTTGGAGCAACAGCTGCATGTTCGCTTCTGGGTCGTCAGTCTCCGTTCCAGTCTTGCGCATGTCGCACCCCCGACCGCCTGCTGTAGTTTCACACGCATGATGCTGCATGATGGGTGAATCGCAAGAGGCAGGAACTTTCACATTCGCATCCTCATCGATGTTGTTTGTCCGTGAGGGTTGTCGTTCGTGGACATGTGCATCGTCCTCGCAGGTATGTGTCAACGGTCATGGCTGGGCATGCTCAGCACCAAGAGCTAGCACCAACTGCAAAGAATAAAGAAACGACACAGAACATACCACACATCAAGTCTGGCCACATTTCTTGTCCGATCCTTTGTGGATCAAGGGGCTAGCTTCTGATCCTTACGAGAGCTCTGCCTGGAGAAAGCAACGATGTCGCAGCCCAAGATGCCCAAGGCAGGAGCCAAGCGGACGGTGTGCCTTGATGAAGCTGGCTTGTGTGCTGCTTGACATCCCGAAAACCACGGCGGACACGGCCCTAGCTTTCTTCTAACATTCGAGGTGCAAGCCGCAGTGCTCCGAATATCTTTGCACGTTTGCATGGTCGCCGCAGTCCATGCTCGCCAAATTTCCGCATTCCAGTTTCCCCCCTGGCCTTGGCTTCTGCGCAGGCGTGCCATAGCACTGAGCCTTGGAACACCGCCTTCTTACATCGTTCGCCTGCTCGTTGTGTCAAAGATGCCCGAAGGCTCGGGACGGGCTTGCGATCACGTGCCGATATGTCGCATGTCCGGCCACCTTCGCAGGAGTTGATCCAGAGCAGGCTGGTTATTCCCAGGAAGAAGAGGATCTTGCAGTTTTAGTGCTCCGAGGCTTTTGTGCAGTTCGGAATTGCAAATGCTAGAAGCCTGACATGGGGATGTACAGGGCGCGCAGCACGAGGTTTGACTTGCAATTGTCCTGCATCAGCTGTAGGGTACTGTTGTTGCTGAAGGTTCCGCTGAAAAAGCACGAGCGGAACTACAAGACATTGAGATCATCTTCTTTGTGCCCGTATGTGTGTTTTCAAAGAAGCTCAGTTTTTGGAGTGTCTGCAAGCGAGCTTCTTGTGATCCTTGCGCCCAACACTAACTTCCTGTGTGGAATAACAGGTTGGAAGTAGCTGAAGAGGATGTGGCTGTGGCTATCCTGCCATCCCTGCAGCTTCCTTGATACGTCAGTGTGTATTTTGTCATTGTTTCGCATGATGCTACAAAGTGATCGTCTTGAATGTTTGACTGCTGCTGCTGGTGTGGCTTTTGCAGCCTGTCTTGGGATCTTGGCATGGTGCGGTGTGGTGTGAGTCAAGCCTTTCTGGTGTTCTAGTGCAGCTGTTGCGTGCTTTGTATGCAACCTCGCCATCGATGGGCAGGCAACGTCACACATTGTAGAGTGGGAGATGGAGGCCAGCATTCGAGCTTGTTCCTGACTCCTGTTGGCGGCTGTCTCGCACAACAGGTTCGCTTGAGTGAGGAGCATGGTTTTCTGGAGGCACATCCGCAATGCTCCCCACAGCCCAGAATCTAGAATGTGTTCGTGGCATTTTCGTTCGAGGTGTCTTCCAAGTTGGAAGCAGTCGCAGATGTGCTGGCAGCCCTAGCGCAGCTCTCTTGCCTGGTGTTCAGGGCCGTTTTATTCTCAAGCTGAGAAGGTCCAGTCTCACTGCTGCGCTCTTTCGAAATGTACTCATGGTCAGCTGGCACGTTTGAACATTGAACTTCGTTTCTGCTTGGGCCCGTGACTGGCTTCACCGCAAACTTTACGTTGCCGTGCATGGAACCGCAGTGTCAGTGGCCCCCGCATACGGTCATCGACAAGCATGTGTACCACGCATACAGCTAGCGTGTGCGGCACTGTCCAGCCCACAGTACATGGAGGACCAGGAAGTGGAGAGGTCAATTTCTCAACGTGTTGATTCAGCACAACCGTGACACACGAAGCCAGGGTGGTAGTTGCTATACTAGCGCCGGTACTAATGTCGAGGAGATGACCACGACTACTGCTACTGCCATTGCTACTGCTGCTCCTGCTCGCGCTACTGCTACTGCTGCGGCTACGCCAAGCAAGACAGACCAACACTTACAGTGCGCTGGAGGTGAGTCTAAAACTAGGCCGACACCTTGCTTGTATTTGAGGTCTGCCCCCTTTCCTTTTAGGGTAGAGCTCTCCTGGGCACGTGTTTGTTACGAAAAGTATAGTATCCTTCGACATGTGATGAACGAGAATGAACGAGATCCCCGAATCGCATGATGAACGGGTGGGTTTGAGGGATGGCCGCTTCTTGGACTCGTTTGATGAGAGGGGTTTGGGATTCGACCTCATGTCTGTTTTCCGCAGACCATGTACCCGCTTGACTAGAAAGGCAGTCAGCACAGAGCTTTATTTCTGTGTATTGTCAGGAAGACGCTTTGTAAGAAATGGGAATTTCGATTGTTATCTTCAACATATTTTGCACAGTGTCAGTGGCTGCGAGAGGTTGCTCACAGCATCTGCCGTTTTGGGGGTTAATGTTGCCAACCATCTGTTTGCCTTCCAGGTTTTGAGGCTTCCCGCTGTTTGGGGCTTCGAATTCGCTCCAGTCAAGACCTATCTGAGAGACTGATGTCGAGGGCAATGGCTGGAAACCTACAAATCTCACTCAAAAGGATGCTGATGCCAACTATCCTTTGGTAGGATCTCTTCTCACATGTCTGCCAGGGTCTCTCAGAGGTGACGCTGAGATGGACGGAGCTTGTCATGCCGTCGGGCCCTGAACAGTTTCACAACTGCGACCTTGTGGGCAGTGTCACGCTTCGGCTCTCCAGCTTCTGAGGCCTGTAGAGTACAATGGATCCGTGTTAAATTTGACAGTTGAACAAGGCACGCAGTCTGCGCACCTCGAGAATTGAGACGGCAACTTGTCTGTGCACTTGCACGAGGCATGCCTTCAAACGTTGCCGACACTCACGATGGCAATTCGGCCGGCCTGGCAGCTTGACGTTTCGTATGTTGATTGGGCAGTTGTGACGCCGTCGAAAATGTCTGACACACGGCAGGAGACCGACAATTCCGCTTTGGTGTCTGCAGTTCTTCTTTCCCTCATGGCTATTCCCGTGCTGGCCAGACCTCAGCACCATGCATTCGTTCCTGAGCAGGGCAGATGCACGGCAGGCCTCGATTCTGCAGTTCATCTCCGCAGACGTGCAATTACGTCACCAGCCGCCCCCAGCACCCGGAGGACGTCGTATTGGAAATTGAAAACCTCGCTTATTTGCGCTGCTCCAGGACCTGTCCCTGCAGATTTGCCAGAGCAGAGGGTTCACCGACGAAGCAAGGTGAGAGGAAGCCGATCCGTAATCCAGGAGCGGCCCTCCTGAGGCACATGTCGGGCAAGGCTGCGTTTGCAGCTTGTGCGTGGACACAGTGTGCATATCCTCTGTGCGTTCCTGCCAAAGAAGCAGGCCAATCCCAACGAACATCGGGGATTTCGTCACATTTCGCCTTCGAGTAGGCTTTGTGTGGCAAAGGTCACTGAGCTAGGCGGAGAATCTCTGCATAGACAGCGGCTCATGACTATGGACCTTTCATTCCAGTGAGCGCACTGAATGCTCATGCGTGATGCGGCCATTGATAATACTGATATTGCTACAGACTGTAGTAATACTGGTTAATACTGACGAGACTAATGCTAACTATACTAAGGCATTCTGGCGAGGCACATGAGAAGCTAAAGTCAAGCTGAGCCGTGTCTCGGCCAACCCGGGCGGGAGGTGGCCAACCGGCCCAGCGGCACTCCGCAGTACGAGTCTCGGGCTGAAAAGAGCTTAGGGTCCAGGGTTTAGGGTTTAGGGCTCATAGAGCTTATAGGGTTGAAAGGGGTTAGGGGTTTAGGCGTTTAGGGGTTTAGCTGTTCAGGGTTTAGAATTTCGAGTTTAGCGTTTGGACACGCGCAAGCAAAGCTGCAATGAGGGGCGGGAAGGAAGATGCCCTGGTCGGGCAGGCAGTGCGAGTGGCCTGCGACCTTCCACGCCTCTTTAAGCCAAGCTTACGGAACAGCCACCATCAAGAATCATAGATAATCATAGTGTTTAGCGAAGAAAACGTATCTACTGTGATTTTCATCGAACTTCAGGCGCGGTGCTTCAGAACCAAACTAAGGTGTCTTTCCAAGCTTTGGGTTCAAGCTTTGTGCAATTCGACGCAGCGTCTACTAATCACTAATCCATCGCTTCCATGTCGGTGCGCATCAAACCGTCGTTTGTCATCGCCTTGCTTCTGCAGTGTCTGGTGGTTATCGATGGGGTCCGCACTGTAGATATGTCTGAGGGCAACGTGGCACGGAGTTCCAGCTCACACGCACTTTCTTCTCGCATGACTGTGCGCGAGACAGAGACGCCACTGGTCAGTATCCACTTCTCGATGAAGCCCGCGGAGATGCAAAAAATGCTAGGGGACCGCCTGGTGCCGGATGTGTATGATGGTAAGGCCTTCATCCAGGTCTCCATGTTCTACATTACGACACTTGAGATGAGCACCTTCCTCGGCTTTGTGCCGAGCCTCATGAGCAGCTGGTGCATGCGTATTTCCGCGTATGTGAAGATGAAGGACTCCGGAGAGAAGGGCTACGTCATTCTGTCGGCGGACTTCGAGAGCTCGTTTTTCGGCAAGATCATGACCAGTGCCTGTAGCTGCCTTTGGCAAAACAAACCTACTTTCTTTGGAATTCTGTATGGAAACCACAATAAAAGGAACCCTAGAAGGGCGGGTTTTGTCGGCTACAGGTGGCTGCAAGAGTTCTCAGCTGGGAACCATGTGTGGCACTGTCGCGTTGAACCGGACCAAGATGAGTTACGGCCAGCTGTTCTCTGTGAAGCAGGACGGGAATGAGATCCTGCACCTCGCTGCCCAGTTGGGCAATGTTTCCAACACCCCCTTCTTCAACTGGGCCAACGAGCGCTACGTGCGTTTCCAACTCAGCGCAGACAAGAAGACGCTGAAGCGCGGGACCCAGCCAGAAAATACCAAGATCTGGGAGGGCAACTATCAAGTGAAGCTCGCTGCTGGTGCCGTCGACCCCATCTGGTCGAAAGTCTTCCAGACCAAGTTTGCCGGGTACGGCTGGGGATACCTCGACGACCCTGTCCCTGAACCCTGTGGCCAGGGCTGGTGCTTCTTTTCTTCGAAGGCGGCCTTTGTGGACAACGAAGCCACAGTCCTCGCCGTGAATGACACCGGGGCTTGAGACCGAACGGTTCATTCGGCCTGGAGAAGATGAGAGCATCCATGCATCCATGGTAGAAGCATGAAGAAGCAGTGTCTGCACAAGTCATCTCATGTTGAAATGTTGATGTTCAGCCAGGGCGTAGGCCTGCCTGCACGTGCCACTCATGTCCTGCTCAATCGAAGCATGCAGCGCACAGCAGCAAGCCAACCCTCAAAGTTGCCAGAGCCTCAGATTTATCAATTGCAACTGGACAACGATGTGTTTCATCCCTGCCCTAACCTACCACAACCTACGTTTAGACTTGAGAACCCCCATGACGGGAGGCAACGCCTTTTGACACGCCGACATCTTTGCCATGTTTCTATCTTGAGAATAGCTGAGCCGAACTTTGTGGTTGAGTTTAGATTCGCACTAGATGCCGATGGAATTCTAAACGGATGGATCTCAACTCCGCGGCGCCCCAGGCAACTGTGACGAGTTTGTGGTGGTAACCTGTTTTCAGCAACTCGTGAGGCGCAGTCTCAGCTGACCACGCCGGTGCAAGAGGCACAGTCAAAAGGCAGTGGCGACGAGATGTTTGAGCAACCCGAGCAGCAAAGTACCCTGCATGCCGCTTGGACTGGATCCTTTTGGGCTCCGTAGGTAGCTGCCAAGCTTTGGTTGCAGTCGCCCGATCTCCCTGTTAGGTCTTTCAAGGCTGGCTGCAGCAGGAGTTGCACGCTCATGAAGAGCGCCTCAGGAGTGGACTGAGAGAGGATCTCTCTCATTTTTTCAGGTCTTGGCCTTGCTTTCCACGCTGCGAAATCACCAAGAGCCATAGATGCGGCTGCCCTGCAGGCAGAGACCTCCGCATCTTGCGGCGCCAGTGTCGCACCTGCAGGCAAAGTCGTCATGTGCGGCAGAGATATAGCACTGACATGATGTCGATTCGCGCTGGGTTGCCGAGTCCACGAGGACTGGCATGAGTTGATCGTCGCTGTGCCCCGCTTTCGCCATCATTGATTTCCGCCATCCATTCGTATATGTCGATACAGAGCACCTCGGCCGGTGCGAATCTTGACGGTTGGACCGAAGCTTCTCACTCCAAATGTTTCCCAGCAAGAGCCGACTCAAGTCCTGGGCTTTTGCGCTCTCGCACCGTGATTGCGATGTACCGAGCGGTTTGAAACGTGCATCGGGTTTTGTCGGGTCTGCAGGATTTTCGCCATGCCGTCGAGAGGGGAGCTTGTTTCGAATCCGTTTGAATAGGCTATGCGATGCACCCCGGAAGCACGGCTGCCAGGAGCTCGAGGAAAGCGCGGAGCGCACGGTGCTCGCAGAGCGCGCGAGCCCGCCCAGGTCAGGGCCTCACTGCTAGGGCAGCCAGAAAGATCGGCTAAGGGTTCCATGGGTTCCATGGGTTCCTTCCGGAGTCTTCGCATCGGCTTAGGCCGCATACTCCACCCTCGGCCCCAGCGGCTCCCTGCAAACCAGTGCAGTTCGAAGACATGGAGCAACCTGAGACGGAGGACAAGGAGCCTTGGGTGTGGGTCTGGGCTGCCACAAGCGAGAGAGATTTTGTGAGGCAGTGTGTCGCTGTAGGATGCGAAGCTCCCTGGGATGGTGTCCGATGCGAGGGGGGCCCCAAAGCTTGAAGCTCAGCCTCTGCTCTGCGTGACGCAGAGCAGATGCAGCAAGAGGAAAGTGCCTGCGCCAGCATGGAAGCACGTACTCAGGAAGTCCAAAAGCCGCTTTGCCAGCCAAACTGGGGCCGCTGTAGCTCAGAGTCGCAAGTCGCTCAAGTCGATGGCTCGAGGAACAGGTGCCGCATTGCGCTTAGCAAACGAGGTGTTGCGCAGCCCTTTGCTGCATCGCACTGTCGGATGTGCCAGGTGTGGAGAAAGTCGCCCCAAGTGGTGTGGTGCCGGATTCTCCAGATGCGAACCTCCAGCAGCCAGAGGAGGCCCTTACACGATTAATCTGGCGTAGTGACACTCCAGGTATGCCAGGTGTAATGACTCAGTTGGACTCAACTAGTGAGCTAGTGACGTGAGGGGCAGCTAGTGGCAAGTGACGAATGAATTACTAACTGATGATTCCTTGATGTGTAGGACGCGCTGCCAGCCATGAGCGCTTTAGAACGACTTCGGGACTTCGTCCGTCGCAACTTTGTCCAGAACACCTGCTTCGGCTATGTCATCATTGCCTTTATAGTGCTAAACGCTGTGATGATGGGCATCCAAGCTGATTGGATGGTCTCAAACATCGGCCAAACAGCGCCGGCGATATTTGACATATTCGAGAACATATTCGCAGTCATTTTCACATGCGAGTTGGCAATGCGGATTTTTGTCTACCACGTCCACTTCTTCCGGACAGCAGAGTGGAAGTGGAATGTGTTTGACTCGATTGTTGTGGCTCTACAACTAATTGATATTGTGTCAACGCTGGCTGTCGGCGACGAGAATGCTTCGGCCGACACTGGCAATTTATCTTTCATGAGGATCATCCGTCTCATGCGCTTGCTGCGGATTCTTCGCCTCATGCGCTTGTTGCGCTTTGTGCAAGAGCTGCGATCAATGGTCATGTCCATTGTGGCTTCTTTAAAGTCGCTAATGTGGACCATCATCCTGTTGGCATTCCTGATGTATGGTGTTGGCGTTTGTTTGACACAGATGATCGCTGACAAAGGTTTGGAAGAGCCAAGAATCATGCTGCTCTCCCCGGATATGAAGAGCCACTATGGCTCGCTGCCGCAAGCTTTGGTATCCCTATTTGCAGGCATTACAGGTGGAATTGATTGGGCTGATCTTATGGCTCCGCTGCAGGAACAAATCTCACCGTGGCTGGCCGCTGTTTTTGTTCTATACATAGCGTTTGCAGTGCTGGCGATGATGAACGTGGTGACAGGCACGCAGGAGGTAGTCCATGCCATGCAGGCTTGCAGAGACGGTCAGCAGGAATCATGCCGTTTCCAGGTATCTTCGTGGAATCAGCCCTGCAGTCCACCAGGGCAGATGAGGAGAAGGAAGTCCGTGCACAGCTGGACGAGATGTTCAAGCAGCTAGACTCTAGACTCCAGGCTTTGTAACTGCGTGTGCGCAAGAACACTATCTCTTAGATCGAGGTGCAGCATTTGACTGTTGGCCTATCGCGTGCAAGTTTGACAGGTGACTGTCAGATTGGTCAGATTGATTTCGAGCTTCCAATCAAAGCTTGTTCTGTGTAGCGGCCATGAGTGTGGCGCCGCGCCTCTAGTCTTGAGGCATGTGGACCAAGAGAAGAATGGAACCATATCTTGGCAGGACGCTCGCGAATTTCCGCTGCGCAGCCACTAGCAAATGAGTTCAGGTTGTTGAGATGCGATGACAGCCGTAGTTTCGTGATGTCAGGAGTTCGTGCAGACGCTGGCCTGCATTGCACTGTTCTGAAGCTCCGGCCGTTTTTTGAGTTGCCACGTATGCCGAACAGTAACCTGGCTTCAGGTCATTGGAGAATCCTGATATGAGGAGATGCTTCGAAAGCTTAGGCTTCAACATGGAAGAGGCGGGAGTGATTCGCTTCTCACACCTTTTTGACCTGATGTTGCGGTGTCGGGTCGGATTCGGCCATCCTTGCATGGGTCTCGCCGTAGAGGCCACTTCTGCTTTTGCTGTTGTGAATGGTTTATACTTTCGCACTCCTGCTTTGACTAGAGCACCCTAGCCGCAAGTCTTAACGCGGCTGTGTCGTCCCATGCACGTGATGCCAACTAACTAGCATGCCCAAGGGCTGTGGAATATGCAGGGTGCCTCTAGGATGAAATGCTGGGGCAGTACCCTCGGCCATGCTGTGACTGAGAATGCGCAAGATCGGGCCTGTCCGCTTCTGTGCGTGCCTCAAGGTGGCGAGGTGGGGTGGTGGAGTGGAGACCTGTTGTCTTCAAAAAAGCAGTCTGACAGAGCCCACTGAACATGGGGAAGAGCATGGACACACAGTCTTTGTGCGAAACGTTTGCGGAAGACTTGAACATGTTTGAATCGTCTGGCTCTCCAGTTTCCCTTCAACCTTCAGCGTAAAATAATGTCCTGCGGCAGGATTTTCAGGCTGTGTCCATTCTCTTGCAAATGTCTTTTCAGGCGCTGAGGTTGCAGTGCTTTACCGTTCCTGTTTGGGTTGGCCTGGGTTCTTGGGTGGGTTTGGCAATCAACATCACCAGAGTCGTTCGTTGCGTGCTCTTGCAAGAAACCGCCATCGGAAGAACCACCCCTGCCTGGCCTACTTTTCAACGAGCCAAGAGTGCAGCTGACACTCCAAAGTGCTGTGTGACTATTCGGAATACGGCAACTTCGGGGAGCGGTAATGCTCCTCGATCTTATGAGGCCATGAGGCCAGCATAGAGTCTCGCAGCGAAACGCAACTAGAACGGACATGAAGCAAGTCTGTCAGGATTGTGCTGCCCTTTTCCGAATCCTCGATGATGGAGACGGCGAATGTACATTGGATGAGTTCATCGGGGGCATTCTCCGGTGCAAAGGCGAGGAAAGGATTGATGCTGTTGTGTGACCTTATCCCTGGCTTTCTCGAGCAGGTCTGTCTGACCATGCGAGCTTTGAAGCAGCCATATGAAGATACCGCTTGAAATTATGGCAGGTCCAGCTCGGGCTTTCGACCAGATGGCAATGCAGGCAGGTTTGAAACAGCTGGACAGCAAGGCGCCCGTCTGCTTGCTTCTTTTGTTACCGAGTTGGGACAACTATATGTCCATGCCAGTAAGGTCTTCCGAATTGAAATTGTTTGGAGAAGGTAGGTGACACACCACCGCTGAAGCCTGAGCTTCATCTGAGCTCGGAGCTTTCGCATTAACCCTCCGGCATCTCACCTCGGAAATCGCATTTCGCTTGAGCGGCCCTGCCTTGATGCCCACCCGTCTCCCCGATCTCGCCCACTGCAGTGGCCTTCGCGGTTCGCTTCCTCTTGAGCGCAGGTTTCGAAAGTTATGAAAGCAATGGCCACCGCGGGATTGATGAAGAAAGCCACTGTGGCAGCCGAGGCGCCTGGAAGCAGGTTGTGCCAGGTTCAAAGTCTTTCCCCTGTGGGAAGGCCTCCCCAGTATGCTCATTCATGTGAAGCACAGCTGAAGACAAATCAGTTATTAGGTGCACACTGGGCTTCTGGAGCTAAATCGTTGCTTCGAACTTCAGGGAATATTCGTGCACCGGACGGGTAGGTATGGGTAGGTCATGGTCTCCGTAAAGTCCACAGCATCAGTGCTAGACTGATCGAATACTGCCTCGCGAAGAGATAGATCCCGCTCCGGAGTCGTGTTTTGCATACTCAACTCTCAGTGGCAGTAGCTTAATACCGAATACCAACACTGAATCAACAGCGGTGACAATGACAACTGATGTAAAGGTGATACTCAGGTATGCACTCTTCTGTGGTTTAAGCCGCGAACTTAGCTCCTCTGGACAGGGCATGGACACGACGGAGCACCTCACCGAATAGTTCGTGTCCATCTTGTCTGGGGCCCAAATTCAGAGAAGCCCCAACCGCCTGCAAGGGTAAACCCTGTAGTCAACGCCAAACCAGGGCAATCTCGCAGGAACAGCCACAGCTGAAACGATGCTTTGCCGATGGGGCCAAGCAAGACATTACCAGATCCGCGCCACTGTGAAATTCAATCTCGCATAGTGTTTTTCCAGCAGAGGCAGCAACTTGTCCGGTCTATCGTGGCTGTGCTTGCTCATAACGGCCAGAGTGTGTTTCCTGCAGTTGTCAGCTGCGCGCAATTGTCCGTGCTACGTCGGCCGCAGCTTGCCACTCCGAGGCTTGACAACCTGTGGGCAGTTCTTATGCTGTGACCAGTCTGTGACTTCTATGGACATAAATGCTTACATCTTGATAATTTGGTTTGCTCCTGCCGCCGAAGGCGACGGGAGCTCTAAGCGGAATCGCTGCAGGACCCGGTGCCGATTGCGAACGCCGGGATCCGTAGCATTTACTATTTACGAAACTAGATCCCTAAGAGGAAGCGGGGGAACCGCCATTGCTACCGTGGAGACAACACGAGGTTGGGTGGCTCCCGCCGGGCAGTTTCACCGTTTTTGCTCAATGCCAGAGGCATCGACGTCACTTTGGGGTTCCGAAGTAATCGCATTTATGTGCAGACATTCTTTTCGGAAAGGATGGGCACAGCCAGATGCTGCGTTGCACGGTCGTTTGTTCAGACTGATCTCTGCGTCCGCGCTGCAATCGCAACTGGAGAGAAGCTCTTGTTCCGCAGCAGCTCTTTTGGAAGGCTCTGTAGGTGACAGAACAAGATGGGTGGTCAGCAGTCCGCAGCGAAGGCCCTGCAGCGGGTGATATGCGACCTACTTGACAAATGCAGCTTGAGGATGCAGCTGGCCAACAGCCAGGTGGAGTCCCCCAAGAGGCACAGCGCCACTGAGACATAGCTGCAAACCAAGGAGATGCCACAAGTTCCAGCCACGGGAAGGGTCGTGCGGCAAACAATCAGGCACCAGGTTTCTCGTGATGCCGTGATTTCCGCTGTTCTGAATCGTTCTGACAGGTGCAGCTCGCTGTGAGCCCACTCGGGGGAGTTCCCGGAGTGGAGCCGGCTTGTCTAGTTCGTGTGGCCCGTGCAGAGTGATAGTTCCCCAAAGGCAACAGCGTATCATTCCTCGGTGATCGTGAACGGGGATGTGCCTGCCTTAGAGCACGGCAGCACTTTCAGGCTCTGCTTGCAAGCCCTGGGTTTGTGGAGGAATACTTTTTCAGCGATGCCGGCATCTCCTTCGGAAGCGGGCTGCAGTCGCACAAGAATCCCCAGAACCCAGACTCGAAGCCCGAGGCCGAAGATGTGCAGTTGCGGCCGATTGCAGATCTGTGCAGCACCAGCAAAGCGGCCAGGTGTTTGACATGGGCATGTCCCCATACACGGGCACGCAGATGAAATCAGCGCTGGAACGCTTCTTCATCTCCGGCACGTGCTCAGCTTACGTGTGTTTGCTTTGCTGGCAAACGATGCTTTGATGCGTGTTGGTGCATACACGCTTTGTCGTCCTATTGTGACCAACTGCTTGGCAAGGTATGACCTGCATGGGCCCCAGAGACATGTCAAATACGACCGAGTCACGGCCATCATGGCTGCAGGCTTCGCAAGAATTGCAATTCGTTTTCGGACTGTGCTCTTTTCTACCTTCTTCACAAGCTGTTCTGGCATGATTCCACGGTTTCCATACTTCCCCAGTCTGAACATGAAAGGCGCCTAGTCCGTGTGGAGTGCCAGGCGCCTGGACAAGAAGTACCGGGCAATGGAGAAGCTAGGCAGGTAGTTGCAATTCTCTTAGCAGTTGCATAGTTTGCCCGCTAGTTCGCCTGCTTCTGCTGGTGGGGTGATGCTGTTGGCCTCGGCAGCGTTATTCTCAAGATCGGGCCTTGCTCCTGGATATGGATGGCTACTCGAGCAAGAAGCGCGCAGAGGTCGCTCATACATGTTAATCCTCTTTTCCCGTGATGGTATGGCATCGGCGAGTATTTGTGTGGCAGGATGGGATATGTCGTCTCAGCTTGGATGCTCCGCATAGGCCTCGGCCTCGGCAACTCTGCTGGGCGGCGAGCCTGTGCATGGCGTATCGGCGTATGCTGTGATTGTCGAGGCTGCAGCAGCGGTCGATCTCCGCTTCGAAGCTGGAGAGCATGAAACATGCACGAAGCTCAGAAGAACACACACACACAGACACACGCAGACGCTCTGTCTCTCTCTCTCTCTCTGTCTCTGTCTCTCGCTTTTCTCGCCGGTACTCGTTGTCGTAGTCTGTTGTCCAGGAGGCCGAGATGGCCAAAGAGTGGGGCAAGCAAGTCAAAGCAGAGCTGCATCTTCAGCAAGGAACTGCAGAAGCGTCATGTCTCCATGCTTAACTCGCCGAAGTCCATAATGTCAGGAAATGCCAAAGCACTGCAGAAGGCGAGACCCTCAGGATTAGCTTGGCTGCATGTGGATCCCCTGGATTTAAGGACACACTGGCCAGCCGCTCGTGGGGTGGCCCCAAGTACAGGTTCCGAACAAAAGACTCTGTTTAACACATCAGTCCCTCCTCTTAGCTGACCAGGCACGTGCCTCCGCAAGATGGGCAGAGCGCCGATTACCAGAAGAGTATGCGCAGAATGCAGAGCCTTGCCAGCGAGATTTCGACCAAGCAGGCAAGACAGGATATCACGGGATATCACATGACTTGTGACGATGGTGATGCCCGCGACGAAGGCAAGCGTAGACAAAGCCATGCAGGAGGACTACAGGTGCCAACCCCTAGCTTGAGGCACTGATGGCCCAGTCGTTGCCGGGGCATGCTTTCGATTCGCAGGATGGTGAGGAATACTCGGGCCGATACGAGTGTCCATTCCTTGGCAGCCTGGTTGGAGAAGTATGGCAAGCCTAGCCGCCAGCCTGAGCAGCAGGCCACGCTAAGGGTGGGAATGATTTTCGATGCTCTTGCTGTGGCTGCCTGTTTGACAGAGGAGCGATTTCGAACAACTCCTTTCAAGCAGCGGAGGCTGGAGATCTTGCAGGGCATCTTGAGAGCATCTATTTGATGAGCCTTACAGAATCGTGACTTCCCTTTACAGGATCCCGTTCCTGGGCATCTCAGAAGCCAAGACACTTCGTCTTGGGGCAGGTGAATGGATTTCCTGAGTCGGTCTCATGGTCCATTTGCGGGTCAGTTGCACAAGCTCCATCTGTGCCCATGTGTCAGGCATTTGGTCACAAAGAAGCGAGACAGACCTTCTTGGCACCTACAACTTCCGAAGTGTGGGACGTTGATGTGCCGAGCACATCGATGTGTCTTTGTGCATGGGTCGCAGGTGTTCTGGTAGGCCGAAATTGGAGCATAGTTGAGCACAGTGTCAGGTACGATAGCGAGCATGTGAAATTATGTGAAATACTTGTGCGAGCCTACCCAAGACCGTGACAATTTGATGTGTTGCCGCAGGCATAATGAATCAGCATGCACATGAGTGAGGCGTGACAACCAGAGTCAGACGCATGGCAGCATGGAGAACTTGCGCCAGCGTTTTTCCACGCTGGTTGTCTTCGACGCCGAAGGTGTCGGAATTTGAGGGCAGTCTGCGCTAAGCGCCGTGCTCACCCTGGCTTGTGTCGAAGTGGGCTAAAAGATGAGCTGGAACTTTATATTGATGGAGCGCCTTCTGTGTGTCGGTGGCAGTGATTCGTCTGCCGACGCTGGGAGAATTGACGCAAACATAGCACCGCTCGAGCACTCGGCGGAGCCTGTCGTGTCGGTTTCGAAACTTCACAGGGCGAGTCCAACGAACTGGCGCTTGCTGGTCTCCTTCATGAAACGGGTTCGTTGTGAGCTGATGTATCCAACATGTCGATCGGCATTTTGAAGACTTCGCCTGGGTGACACGAAAGCAAGGGGCAAGAAAGTTCAAGCCTCAGCTTAAGCGGTGCACGAGCTTGAAGAGGAAGCGTTCTGCTCCGGGTGCGTTGAAGAGCACGCCGGGTGTTCTGCACGGTCTCACAGGGCACGACAGAGCTTGAAGAGCGGTTTGATTGCACTTGCAAAGATGACAGGGGCATCGGCAATGGGGATCGTGCAGGCAAGAGTGACAGCTGCACGATGCAAGTTGCAACTTTGGCAAGATGACATTCGGCAAGCCCAAAACTGTGCAGGCAGCCTCAGGTGGGCAGTACCAGCCGAATCCGAAGGAGCAGATTTTCGCATCTCGAAACATGTCGCTCTTTTCAATTCTGGGTCTGGGTGCTTTTGCAGGCTGAGGGCTTCGACGTGGAGAAAGTTTGCGATGAGATTGATCCCGACAAAGTCTGGAAGACCCCCGGGCAGGCCTACTGCGTGGTGCAGTTGCAGCCCTCTCAACTGCGAAAACGGCGATACCTGCAGGCTACTGGAGGAGCAACTGTCAGCTCTGCAGAGGCGGGAGAGATGAGCTGTTGCTTGCGCTTCCCCGCTCGTCTTTTGCAGGCCATGCGGGCTGCGCGGTTGGCCAAGCTGGGGGGACCCGGCGCTGGACCTGGCCCAGCTCCCACAGGGGGATATGCAGAAGGCGCGTGAAAGCCTGCATATGAAGCTGCGTAGGTGCGTCGTTCTCAAGTCCGCCAGGTCAACCAGGGGGAGCCCAGCCGCCGCCCAGCTCGGCAGCCTCTTAGACTGCAGCAGCGTGCTGCTGGCCATTCCAGCGCTTCAGATGGGACCGGTGTCGGTCTGGTGAGCAGAGTGTTTCACAAGATGCCAAAACAATCGACATGTTTTACCGGCACGAATTTGCAAAAAACTGCTGTAGATGCCGCATGTCACTGCCCTCCTGCGACGCTCCTGGACATTCATGGCAGATTCACAGGGCGCCGACGAATGTGGGCTTTTGCAGTCGCGGCCGCACAGGGTCCAAGCTGGAGGAACGCGACCGGTGTTGCCTCCGATTAGAAAGCTTCCATGAAGGTCGGTGTACGCATTTGCATCGATACACTCCGATACACAGGGTTCTCTCTCTGTGCTCATCTGTGCTCCAGGCTTGGGCGGCTTGGCTGTTGTTTTTTCCCTTCTTGAAGCTGACAGCAGCGGCAGCCCAGTGCTCAGTCTGCTGGTCTGCACAGACGGTCAAATCTAGTCACTTCTCGACCTCATGCGAGGCCGACGGCATCACCTCACAGGGGCCCAGGCACCGCCCAGTCAGCCATGGAAGAGCGCCCTCACATGCCACTCTCATGCAATGCACTCAATTTGCTTTGCCCTGCTCCTGGCTGCCATGTGCAGGATTAGGCTGTCATGGGAGGCCTGGCAGTTTTTGCATGCAGTGCTGCTTTCGGTGATTGCTGGATGTTGCAATCTCTCTAACAGTGCACGTTGCTGGTTTGGGCACCAGCTGCAAAGGTAAGTGGCCAAGTGCCGGCAGTGCCTAAAGCCATGGCGATTGCGCGTGGATGAAGAGTATGCGTATTGAGCATATTACATGTTCACCAACAAGAGCTTCAGCAACGTCGGGCGCAAGACTGCGCAGAGCATTGACACGCTGAAGAAGAGACTTGGAGTCGACGCGGAAGCTACCACCAAGCCCACCGTTGCCACGAGAGCACTCTCCAGCTCTGTGTTGGATTCTTCGTTGCCGACAGGCCCAGGTCCAAACTCAGTCAAAACTTCTTGCTGCACCTTTCCATCATGAGGGCATGCGAAGCCTTCGGGCTGCTGTTGAAACGGCTGAATTCCGGGAATAGACGATGCAGTTGTGGACGTCTGTGGGCACCCTGATGTGTGTAGGGGTTGGCTAGTCTAGGTTTTTTGCAGCACTGCTCTAGTTGCTACCAGCCGTGCAAATGCAGGTTCGACCACTTCGACGCAAGATCTCGTGCAGAGGTTCTCGCGAATAAAGGTCAAGTCTGAGGCGAAGCAGGGTAAGGCCGATGCATAAATACTGCGGGAATGCCCAATAAATTCCACATAAGTTGTGATTGCTCAGCTAGGAGAAGTTTGCTCGGAGATTCGGTGGACAGGTGGAAGACTCCGCCGAGGTAGTGCCGCTCAGCCCAAGCCATGTCAGACAGGCACGGGAGTCGGAAGGTTTTGGGACTTCGTCAGGGGCGCTTGGTTTCCATGAGGTGGCTCCTTTGCGGTACACCAGTGCCTTCCGCTCGCTTGGCCGGGAGGAGTGCTATCCTATGATGCCTGATTGCTTCATATCTGAGACTGTCCTGGAGGAACTGGACAAACGCATCAAAAGTGATGAAGTTCCTCCAGTCGGTTTGCTGCTCAGGGAGGTCGCTCTGAGCTATGGCTGAGCATTTTGCCTGTCGCACAGAGGCAGCTACTCGCCGAAGGACGATTGCACCGCAGCTCTAAGCCGGGTTCGATGCTCTGCGTCAGAGCGTCGCAGCTTGTGGTCAGATCAGATGCAATGCCCAGCAGCGACGAGCTTTTGACTTCAGGTCAAACATCCACCTCCTCACGGCTGCAGCTTCGCATCTCGCGAGATCACGCGCAGCCGCAGAGTTGTTCTGGCAGAGCAGCTTCGTGCCCAAGGCAGCGTACTCCAGTCCATCTTGTGCAGCACGAGAGCAGATACCAATTCTTAAATAGCTATCGAATGTGTCGCGTGCGTTATCTGTGCAGGTCAACCCTATGAGCATCTGCTGGACAACCCTGGACGCGAGCTTCCAGAAGGTTTGCCAGAAAATCCCCTGGCCCGAAAGAAACAGATCGTTTTTGTCACCCGACGCAGTGCAAGCTGCTTGTTACTCGTTAGCTGTGTTGATTGACGGCAATCCAGCGACTGAGGTAAACATGTCCAAGCAGCTTCCACGACCGGACCTTATGGAATCTGCGAACGTCGTTTACCATGACACCATAGCAATTTCTTCGTCGGGGTTTGAGGAAGCTCACAAGAAGTGTGCCAAGTTTGGGAAGTTCTACAGGCAGCCATGTTACCCAATCTCCCAGCTACCGCGGTCCGAGAAGACACAGGAATCTTTCACTCAGCCTGGCGAGTTCAATGTCAATCTGGACTTTGTTAGGCCGAGGCTGGCAGCCAACATGGAGTTTCGCAAACGACCTGGGCGGAAGGATCTCCTCGAATAGCGATGCTTCGTGAATTCCGATGGTTAAATTTGACGTGTGCTGCGGAGACACTCAGCCGCGTCACTTAGGAGCGGACTTCCGATTTTACGCCCGGGTTTTGCTCTCCCGCCACGCGCTCCTAGCTGTGGCACAGCACTGCCTCAAGAGCAGCTTCCGAAGGAAGCAATGCGCTTTCAAAGCATGTGTGCCACTAGGGAAAAGCGATTGTTATGCCATGGTGCCATGCGGCATGCCATGTGGGAACTTTCTTGGAGTTACTTGCAATGCCAGGCAGACTTGCGAGAGGAGAACTCCTTCTCCCGCTCAGGGCTCGCAACTCATGCCTTCAGTCGCCTCGAGCCGCGCGAGCCAGGCGACGAGATGAAATCTAGTCCCTCGGTTCCACTTCCACTCCTGGAGGTCCAAGTGCAAAGGTCTTACAGCCTGTATACTTCAAGTTCCGCGAGCACCACGGCCACTCGACAAGCACTCGAGCAGATGGGGCCGGGGGTGGGGAGTGTGCTGAGGGACGCAGAGAAACAGCACAATCAGATACAATCAGTTCAAGTCGTTTGGCATGCCTCATGGCTTCATACTTTCAAAAAAACTGGTGGCTACGAGTAGCCCAGCTTGGTCGACTCTTCTGCCTTGCTCCAGGTCGGACACTGCCTTTGCCACAGGAATCGCGACGCTGGGCAGGGGCAGCTTCTGCCTCAGACGGAGAGAGGGCACGTGCGGCATGTGCGTGAACCCTTGACTGAGGTCAGGTCGTGTGCGGCTGACTTTAGCCGAGGAGCCGAAGAGTGTTCTGCCTGATCTGACCACGCATTTGCATGCATCTGCAGCACTTTTCAATTTCAGCTGCCTTTGAATGCGACTTGCAAGATGGTGCTTTTCAACAGTCTGCCCGACTGCGCACCGCATTGAACAAGGCTTAAGCTTTTGTTGCAAGCTGAAGCTGGCCGGGCTGTTGCAGAAATGCAAGCTTGGGATTGGCTTCATGCAAAAGGCCTCTTCGCCCGCACTCTGTCTTTTTTCGATGGGAGCTTCTAGGTGCACGAACAAGCGACAAATGAGTGATGGCGATGTGTAGCCGCGATTCTACGCGGAAGGGCAAACCACCTGAGGAGCACAATGAGGCTGCCTGTGGTTTGTTGCTCCCGTGTTGAAAGCGCCAATACTCCGAGACATCTCCTGCAAGCACACAGGACTGTCAGGTTGTGTCAACTCTTGACAACAGTCTCACGCCATCAACGCCGAACAGCTGCAGGAGAGAAGCCGACCAATTTTGGCCTCATGCGTTGCTCCTGTGAGCAGCGTACGCCACTGAAGAATACAAGAACAGGTGATAAGCCCACAGAGCAAAGAGCCAGAACCACAGGCAGTGCACTTCGGTGATTCTTCAGTCAAGGTGATCGCGCGCCTCAGTGCAGCCGCTTGTGGACCTAATGCCAAACTGCCAGTCTCACCCACACCAGGTGAAGCGCAACAACATGCCGAGCATGGTTGCGAAACGCAGGCTGACAGGCACAGGCAGAGACCAAACCTTGCTGCTCCATGGTGAAGCCTGGAGAAACCTGCCATATGCAGGCCAAGAATTTGAAGCCAGTTCAATATCGACAAAGGTGTGTGCTCTATGACTCTATGAGCTACGTGATCTGGTCGTAGTGAAGTGGCATGCAAAGCACGAGTGCTTCCACAAGGTACTGGTAGCTGTGCCAGGCCCCTGCATGAACAAAAACCGTCTGCGCTGCTGCTCAAATCCTGGATGAGCTGTGTGAAATGTTGTTGCGAAGCACCCGCGGGATCGCTTCGAAGCTCAAGCCGTGTGTTGCAACCTTGCACAGCAAGCCGTAGAATAATGCAGCAGGAATGCGTGGAGAGGTGCTCAAGCACCAAAACGATGCAGCTCGCGAATTCGATGTCAAGCTAGACTCTACATGGATCCCACATGGAGTCCCTGCCTGGCTGCGGCCCAAGCTGTTTTGCCTGACAACCGTGTGCCTTGCAGTTCCTGTTAACTTGCTTTGTGACAGAATACGATGATCCCGGTGTGGCTGAAGTCGCCACAAGCTTGGTTAGTTTGTACACTACCTCACAGCGGGAGACTCGGTATTGGCTGATGAGGTGTTGCAGCTGGATGAGAACGATGCGGATTTGTGGAGGCGGCCTCGCCTTCCAACCGCATTTTGAACAGATTTCCTGGGAGGCAGCTGCGCCGAAAACGTGACTTCGAGCTTCGGGTGGACGAGAAAAGCTCGCAGCTGCAGGCCGGTTCGGGTTGCTGCAAGGCGTCCACCGCCAAGTTGCGATTATGCCCCGCCGCCTTTTAGAGGATCACGCTTCGAAGCAGCAGCCCGGACATGTGACGCTGACAGAGGCTTGGAGCACTCTCCGTCATCCTGCCTGCATGTGAGCGCAGTCTGACAATGCAGGCCAGTATTTCGGTCGAGCTGCTACACCAGCAGGCACGTGTGCATATTTATATGGCATGCTTGCGGTTGGCGTGCAGCCCTGATCCAATGGCAGGCCAGATTTGTCAAGGAGCAGCACAGGGAGCTCGAGCACGACCTCATGGTCTTGAAGGACGCTGCAAAGTGAAAATCGAGAGAGGTCGAGTCTTCTCGAAGAGTCCAGGAGTCGAATCGAATTCTCCAGCAAACCTTCCAGGCAGAACAAAAAAAGCCACACCGTTGTTTTTTCACTAAGCCTGGTGTGGGAGCACTTGCTGCCCTAGCTGCCCAAGCCCGTCAGGTCCCGCCTCCATCCCGAACAGAGCGACAAGGCCTTCCAAGAAACAAGGAGAGCCTGAGGAGAGTACTTGTTGAAATGGGAGAGACATGGAGTCTGAGAGGACTTTCTTGCCGAAGAAAAAGCTCGCATTGAATCGCTCCAGGCGATGCCAATAAGCCGTTAAGAATTCATTTGCCGTGAAATGTTTCTCTGACAGGTGCAGCAGGATCAGGTTGAACATCTGCGGATGCCCCTCTGCGTACATGGTGCAGCATGCAGCATTTCAGGCTCTCCACAACCCGGCCCAGGCACATAGAAGGCCTCCGAGTTGAGAAGCAGAGCATGCAGCAGAACCAGCAGGATTGGCCCGGAACTTTGCATCAGAACAGGAACAAACCACCATTCGCCAGTATGGGAGGTGCTTTTCCAGAAGCAGCGAAATGCGGAGCAGGATCGGAATCGACTGCTGGGAGCACTCCAGGCAGGGCTTCCAAATCTGTACCAGGCATGCAAGGGCTCAAAGCTCGCCATCGCTAAGCCAGCCTGTCGTGGCATCGCCCCAACATTGTACAGTGAATCATCCATTTGCACGAGGTCCCATTGGTTTCACAACCCCTGTCTATCCCAGATCCATGCAGGCATGCATATCGACATGCATGCATGCAGGCAGACATACAGCGCGCACACACACACACACACCCACCCACCCACCCACCCACCCACCCACCCACGCACGCACCCACGCACGCAC